CAGTCTCTCTAAATATTAATCCAATAGAAAATATATGGTTCATCATTAATGATTAAAATGAAACATTAGAAAAATTAAAATCAATAACTGAAAGACAGATGAAGGTTAGAGAATGTTAAAGAGACCATCTCTAATGAAATTTTTCATGCATATAAGATTGTGTTAAAAATTTCTTTGGCCAATATCTTCAGAACTCATAAATAAAAATGTATGTTACACTTAGTTTGCATAATAAAGTCTGACACTCCCCCCCCAAAACAATATTTCTAAATCAATATTTTAAAGTAAGGATAGATATTATAAGCTCTTAATATGATGTTTGTATAAATATATGCTGAAAATTGTACTAATTTTGTGAAATAGACTTTCATAATGGAATCTGACAATATATATATATATATATGCACATGTAAACAACATTTAGTTTTTGGGGGGAGGAGGGGGTAACAGACAAGATCTCTCTGGCTGTCCCAAATGAGACTGACTGACAGAGTCTTTGAAAAGCCTTTCAAAGACAGGTTTTCAATTTAATGATACGAAAACATCACTGAGAGATTATTTCCATATTGGACAGAATATCAATTCTCAAAAGGTAGCTAAGAAGAGCAAGTTCTAATGAATCTCCAGCCATCATTAAAATAAAAGGTAGGAGTTTGTGGAAAGAGGAAAAAAAAAAATTCAACAACTTACATTCCTGCATCCTATACTTATTGATAGTAGTAATTTCTTATCTGTCTAATAAATAATATTGTCAAAACCTTTTGAGAAACTCCAAAAGAAAAATATATATATATATATATATATATATATATATATATATATATATATATATATATATATATATACACTAACCTGGACTTGGGAATAAAGGAGTTAAAAAGAAATGAAGTGAAAATGTCCAAAATGGATAGTCATATTTTTATCTTCAATGGTAGGCTGTAACAACCCAACACATGAAGAACTCAGCAATTCAGAAATTTTAAAAGGAAAGTCTTCTTGGCAATCAATTATTGAATATGTATCTTTATTTTAAATAAATACTTTTTGATTGGTTAGTTCATAAACAAATCAAATTCTATTTAAGTCTTATTTACAGATGTTCTATTGCCCTTCAACAGTTTATTTTTTCTTTCTAAATTACGAAAAGTTGAAATAGTTTTCTCATAAAACTTTTTTTTTCCTATGTAAGCACAAAAGTATTTTCTTAATTTCCTCTGGGGGGAAAAACATTTTTGAAGATATAGTATTTAATGCACCTGTATACTATGATTAACCATTGCTACAAACACCTAGCAAGTTATTATAATGTGAGGCTCTTTCTGCTGCTTATCCCATCATAATTGGTAAGTGCACCTCACACTTCAGTTCTAATTAATTTTTTTAATGAAAGGCTAATTAATATTTAATTCCGTATAATAGACAAGAATTAACAGTGATTGACAAAATTTGGATTATTTTTTAATTAAAAGAAAAACTTGTTTCATATGGTAATCATTAGTAAAAGATACCTGACAAATAATTATTTACAAGTGTGAGGGGAAAAATGTCAATTTTCCTGTACCAATCAAATATCCTTTCAATAAAGTTCAATACTTTTCCCTTGAAGCAAATTATACAAATAACATTTCAAATAATAATCACCACTGACAACACTGAGTCTCATTTGCTCTTGATGTAAGGACGATACCATCAGAAAATGACTTCCATAATAAAAACATCAATTGTCATGGCAGTTTGCCCAATGCAATACATATTAATGGAAGAACTTTAGAAGCCTTATTAGCTACAACCTTTCATTCATTTTTAAGACGAATAAATAAAATATAATCAGTCTATTTTCAACTTTTACTGCCAATTTTAGATGATATTTTTTTTAATATTTTTCAGAATCCTTTTTAAGTAGTCTTTACATGGCAGATAACCATTTACCTCCTTTGACACTTGAAATTTAAATCTAATAAATCATATACAATAAAAATATTTTTTTGTTTGAAGTCAAATTTACTTTTTAATTCTGACAATACAGAATTTTACCCTTAAAACAGAACCACTCATGTTGAATTTATGAAGTATTTTTTTTTCAATTTGTATAAATTTTTAAATCTACTGATACACAACAGGATAAATGTTTTAAAGTCCAATCAAACTTATTGAGAGAATTTTTAATTCGTTTAAAAATTTCTTTTTAAGTTACTGAAGGATTTGATTTGAGTATCATTTTCAACATTCTTTTACAAGTGATCAGTAGAAAAAAAAAATAAACAGAGTAGTCTCCCCTGTCAAAAATCTTGTCCATCACACTGAATGATTTTAATTTCAAAAGGAAAAAAAAAAAGAAAAAAGTAAAATTAATATAAACAGACTTTAGTTCATTAAAATGTCATAGAAAAAAAAAAATCATCTCAATTTTTTTATAAAGATTTAGATTCCTGAGCAATGTATAAACTTACATCAGTAATTAAGGTGCTAATAAAATCTCTCCTATGCAGATATTTCTCTTCAAGAAAAAGAAAATTTCATATTAAAAAAAAATAAAATAAAATCACTATTCTGAACTGAGCTAAGTATTTTTCCTTCATTTAATGATTAGCAAATTTCCTTATCACAGAAAAATTGTATCTCTGAACTTGGAGGTTGATATTTTAGACTTCTTTGTACAAATTACAAGCTATAAAGGAGGACAATTAGTAACATGATGAGTGTCTTGCTTAAAACAACATTTCAGTGCTGAAATAGCAATCATTTACACAAAAAGTCAAGAATAACAGTTTTCCACTTTGATGACAGCTACCAGTTGATGTCAAATAAGAAAGTTGCATTCAAAGATATTAAGAAAAAGTAGAAATCAGATATTTACTGTGTGTTTTTTGTTATAAGAGTTTTTTTCCACTAACAGACATCACTGAGCAGCTAAAATGTATGAAAATGTAAGTCATCATTTAACTTTTTGGTTGCTGAATAAAAATAAAAGAATCCATTAACAGTATTAGAAACTGACAAGTTCATTTAATTTAATACTGAATTCATGGAATTTGTTTTGATCCTAATCAAGTTCAAAATTGTTAATTAATAAATACAAAAAAAAAAAAAAAAAATTTACACAGGAACTGCTTTTCTCTATTTTAAAGCTGGAATAATATTTTTTCACATAGGTGCCACATCAGAGCCAAATTAAATGATGGACTGAAAAGACCATAAGTTTATTTTCCTAAACAATCATTAACACTGAATTTGAAAATGAAATTTGTAACTACTTTTTTTTTTTTATTCAACTAAAGCTAATAATTTTTTAATGAGTTGAAGGAGTGATTCTGTTTTAACTGAACCATAAAGTAAAAAATTCAGGTAATTGTCATCTATTGTCATTTAACAAAAAAAATAAATAAATAAAATTGACAAAACAAAAAGAAAATCCATATAATCAATCAATCCAAATATTTGAGGAAAAAAAAAAAAAACAGTAACATTTTGCAGAATATTCTGCATACAAAATGTTAATAAATTTGATTTTGATTTAATTTTTTTTAAATAATAGTCTGAATGTCAATTTTCCATGATTAAACTGTGACTGAATCTCTGCAGGTATGTGTGTATGCGTGTGCATCATTAAGAAAGAGGTCTCTAAGTGTAATGTTAAACATGTAATTTAGCTAAGCATTTGCCTAACACTTGAGACAAATAGAGAGGAAAGTTACACTTTAACAATCATCAATAATAAATGCTGCAAAGAGGGGGAGTAATGTGTATTTATGTAATAATATATGCATGTACATTTTGTGTACATTATAGATGATACGCAGTAAGATGTGGATGTAATATCCAGTCAAGAAATAAAAATAGAAAACCAAAGCTATTATGGAATTTTTAATCCTGATCAAAAAGACTTTGAAAAATAATCTTATTTTATTTTAAATAAGCTAAAAAAAAGGGGGGGGGAGTACACTGTTACTAACAGACAACTATTTTTCCTGTAATTAGACAGGATAGGTACAGAAAAGAAACAGTAGTAACATACTAGCGTAGATAACAAATTGATGACAGAAATTATTTTTATTTTTCCTTCAGGTGTGATTGGGAGAAATTAAATTTAAAAGAATCAACTCAGGTGAAATTATGAAGGAATTCATTTTTCATCCACAACCAAATATTATTTCCTATCAAAACATCATCAGGACTTTTTCATCTATTATTTTCAAATTAATCCTTGGCTATCAACATCCAGGTGTGCTAGTGCAAAAACAGCTGATGGTGCAGGTGATGGGTGGAGCTTAGGATGATGAGGATTGCAGTGGTAGGCAGAAAAATCATCATCATTATTATTATTATTATTACTCAGTTGTAAGATCATTGTTTGAAATAGTGAGGTTTTAGATTTAGATAGAGAAAAACATTTTATGATTTTAAGTTAAGGAATGAAAGAATTTGTCATTATTTAATGATGGAATGCAGGTATTTGGGATCAGTTCTGCAGCAGGTAAACCTTGGCCACAAACAACTATTATCTTCCTTAATTTTAAATAATTTATCAGAGTGGCACAACAAAGTTAGGACTACAATTACATAGTCAACTCTTGTGTTGCAATACCACTCAAGTTTTAGTTATGATACAGACAGAAGGATCATTCTTTCTCAATCCACCGTTTTTTACCTGGTGTAAAAAACATTATCAAAGTAATAAAAAAGATAAAAAATTGAAAAATATAAAATTACTACCTACGACTTTTTTTAATTAAAAAATTACTTTTGAAATTTAAGTAAATTTGGAATCAAAACAATTTTTTTTTTTTTTTTTTTTTACACAGTTCAAAAACAAGTTTTATTCCTAAATAAATACTTAACACTAACAGTCAATCAAAATCAAATTTTACCAACCCACCTATTCGTCTCCCACAAAATACCAATACAGAGAGAGAGAGAAAAAAAAAACGGACAGTTTGTGAATTAATGTTTTTTTTTTTGTTGTTTTTTTTTTTCTGCTTTTTCCAAAAATATTTGTCAACCTACCTGTCTTCTTTCCCTTCTTTTGCTGGGGTCCCCATCTCACTCACAGCAGATGTGAGGGGGGTGAGCGACAGAGAAGCCGCGGCTTGCATTGAGGTATCAAATAGTCTATCATTGTCAAGGACCTCATTCAATTGGATATTTTCTGGACGTACATTCACATGCTCACCACTTGTTTTGACCACATCGTGGCCCAATACCGGACCGCTTTTCTCGGATTTAGAGTCCAGAGATTGGTGGGTCATCACTGGGGTGACCGCTCCGGGTGGCATGTGGCTATTGACGGCCAAAGGGCACTGCGGGTGAGCAGTAGTGGCCTGGGAGCCGGCTGCACCTGCCATGTGCATTTGTTGGGTACTTTGTACTGTCATGGGTATACTACTAATTGATGCTACACTGCTAGCTGACCCATGGGCATCTGAGGGGTTAGTCACATTGGACACATGTATTATGGGGGCCACACTTTGGGCAGGATTGGCCCTGGTAACTGGCGACGGAAGGACTTTTGAAGGTTGGGGTGCTGACAAATTACTAGATTCTCTTAAAATAGGGTTTGATGGGGACTGTTGCGCACCCTGCAAAACATTGGAGACTGTCGTGCCTGGTAAAGGCCCAGAAATAGCTGGCGCATTCGAAGTCACTAAGTTTGCAGTAGGGTTTACAGGTGTCTTACTAGAGCTCATCGGGGTAGTCTGGTGTCCTTGGCTCATGTGGGACTGAGCTTGTAATGCATTAGATGTGGGTAAACTGATTGGGTTCGTGTGTATCGTGGTGCCAGCGATTTTTGCTCCAAGAGGAACTATTGTGGGGATTCCTGACCCACCACCAACACTAACTCCTTCTGTCCTCATAGTTTGGCCAGAGTTCTGACTAGGCTGAGAAGGCGGCTGGATGGGTTTAAAGGTCTCGGAATTGGTTGGTAAATGAATACCGCAAGACGGAAGAGTAGGGACTACCGTCACAACACTGACAGGGGGTGCAGGGCCGCCACTACCATCGACCGACGGTAGAAGATGGGTGAGAAACGGATTTTTAGACGGATCGTCGACTCCAAAAATAAAATTCACAGAACTTGTAGTACTTGAATTACCCGAAGCCGAATCGACTAGAAACCTAATCTCATTCCTGTCGGCATTGTTGTTGGCCGGGGTATCGAGAAAATCATAACATATCCACCGTCCCCGGCGAAATGGTTCTTTTGTTTCTATCTTGACCACTTTGAATCTAGAATGGATGTCAGTTTTCTCCTTTACAACAATTTCGTCCGGGGTCAAGTTGTGGGTAGTGTCCTCCGACGGCGTATCTTGGTCCCCGTCTGTGTTCTTGGAACTGTCAAGGATGTCCGAACTTATTTCTTCCGTATGGCTTTCGTCCAAATCATCCAGGCTGTCCCCATCATCATTGAGGGGATCGTTACTACCACTACGAGGAGCATTCTTGGTGACACCCAAGATTTTGAATGTAGTCCTTTTTTTAGGTAAGTCCCCGACCGATTTGATCGGCGCTGATCTTGGTTCGAAGTCGTTGCTAGTGACTTCAGCCTTCATCGGCTGGTTGCCACTAGGCTGGCTATCGACAGCTTTCACGGCCATTTTGTGTGTACTAGTGGGCAAATCTGCTGCTGCCATTTTGGTTAGAAACAACAACTTCGTCTGTCTGTTTCTCTGTCTAAGCCTCGAACTTAGGTCGCTTTAAATAGGGAAAACTCCTCCGGGAGAGACATCCTACCGCTGTATGGGTTTCCTGGAAAAGGGATACTCGACCTGGAACAGTTTGGGGGTCCGTGGAGAGCATCAGTGAACTTTTATGACGTGAAACAAGCTCCAACAGCGTGACTTATTCATGTTCTCGGCTTTTACAAGATGACGGACATGACGATAAAAGCATGCTGGGAACTGTGACGTCGGAGTTGCTGTTTCGGAAATAGATGACGATTACATTGTTCGTATAACTACGGATGCACAGAGGAACTACAAATATCAGTTTCGATATTTTCTTTCATTCTTTCATTTTTATCATACAATTTTTCAAAAATGTAAAATTATTCATTTTCTTCGAATTTATATTTATATTATTATTATAATAAAATCATTCTTACTAGTACTACTATTATTACATTCATTTTTTTTATTATTGTAACTACATATTTTAATTTTAATAGCAGAAATATTTTTAAATATTTTTATTATTTTACTTGGGAGGACAACAGAAAATACATAGATAAACTATAAAATTTATAAAATTTAATTACAAGATTATTTTAAGTTTTTAATTTCTTTATCTTCTTTATTATTTTCTATATAACCGGCACAAATTTTTTAAATAAAGCCGTTAATTTTTATTTATTTGTTTGCAAATACGTGTGAGTTGATTAAAATTAAACATGCAGATTCTACAAGCAGAGAATGTACTGTTTTGTGACGAAATGAGAAAAAAAAAATATATATATATATATATATATATATATATATATATATATATATATAATATATAAAGTTCAAATATGTACGTGCGCGCGCGTGTGTGTATGTGTGTGTACGTGCGTGCATGCATGAGTGTATGTGTTAGGCGCGTGCATGTGAGTGCGCGTTCGCGCGTGCGCCCGTCTGTGTCTAATTCTGTGCAAATCACTTCGTCATTTTTCGTTCGATTTCGTGAACGGAAAAATATTTTGATGCGTAATTCATTTAAACATTTTCCCATTTTCCATCAAAATTTCATAAGAACAGATATTTCTCTCCTTTTTTTTTTAAACCTATTTCACTGAAATATATATACATAATATATTTGTAATTTGTTATAATCACATAGGAAGAAAAGGAAGACGGGAGTTAGGACGGAAAAAGTTGAAGTGGAATTCTTCATCATCATCATCATCATCATCATCATCATCATCACTAAGATTGTAGCCATCAATCGCTTAATAAATGCTAGCAGTAAATAATAATGGAAATAATGATGATTTAAGTGATGAATGTTGTTAACTGCTTTTTAGTTTATTTTATTTTAAAGGAGTACTGTAAGCATCATCATTGTCAGTGTACTTTACTGACTTGTCAGTGCTGATGCGATGACGTTAACTTTCCACATCAGTTGTATTTTTGGTGGTTTTCGGGAAAGATCAGGTGGCAACAAATCTTTCTCAATTCTCAAAAATTTAGCACTCAGTTCATTATTCTTAAATAAATTGATATATTTTATATTTCTCACTTATTACTGTTGGCGACAGTAGATATGTTGCTCTCAGCTAATTTTTTTTTTTAAATTTCCCATAATGATCAAAGTTGCATTTTTTATTTTTGTTTTTTGTTTTTTCTGAATAGCCAATTATTTGTTTATTATTATTATCATTATCATTATTATTATTATTATTATTAATTTCTGTTTGATACAATTTTTGTGTCTTTTATCAGCAATAACTTTAGGCAGCAGAAACTAGAGATGATGAATACATTCTCTTTTTTTAAGTTTCTTCAAAACTATGATTGGAAAGTTACTTTGACAGTGTAAATTCGTAATGTGCGCGTAGCACTAGTTTTAGAGTACTTTTTTTAGATTATTATTATTAACAAACAAAAAATGCCTAACGTAACTCTTTCAAAACTTAAAAGAGCGCTATTTAAGAAAAAGCGTTCAACAATATTTCGACAGTATATCTGTCTTCCTCAGGTTGCTTAAAAATTGTATGCAAGTTATATGAATAAAAAAAATATAAGTCTTTGTACAAAAATGTCACTTGTCTTGAGAAACACGGTTGTACTAGTAATCAATGCGACAAAATGAATGGAATGTTTCATTCACTTTGTCGCGTTGATTACTATTATTCTTATAATTATTAGTATTTATTATTAATATTATCTTGAGTTGGTACAATATAGGTTTTTCTTAGGAAGTTATGGACGGAGCATATATTGGATTGAGTTTTTCTAAATATGTGAACATTACTCATTTAACACAATAATTTTTTTATTTCACGTACGTCGTAAATTAAAAGTCATCTTAGAAATTAATACTAAAAAGGAAAATTTTAAGTTTGAAGAAAATTTTTTATTTCATTTACTACTTATTTTGAGTAGCAACTTCAATGTTTCAGCCGATACATTCTTCGGCCTTCCGGAGACAGGCTTTATTCATCCGGTCTCCAGACTCTTCAACAAAAACATCGCATTTTAACTGAGTTTTTTTTTTATTACTTATTTATTTAAAAAAAAGTAGTAATTGCAGTCTTGACTTGCTGCCACTTTACCTGCAACAAGATAGAGGTCTGATTTTTTTTTGTTTTTTGTTTTTTTTGCTGTTTTTTGTTTTTGTTTTTTGGGGGGTTTTTTGTACATTTTAAAAAATCTTTGAATCTTTTTTAATTACCAAAGTATGCGCTGACGATTAGGGATCTGATTTAAAAGTCAATTATTTTTGTTCTCTTTAAAAATATTGAATTGAACCCTCAAAAAATTTAAATAAAAAAGTGGGAAGCAGTTTTAAACCTCACAACTAAAAAAGCAATATCTGAGAAATATTACAGCTCTGTGGAAAATTCTCTTTAAAAATATAAAAAAAATAGCGTAAAAATGTTTCAGGGCTCAAAATTAAAAGGGTCTGCACAACACCCGCATAGTCCCGCCTTTTTAGTTTTCCCCCTTTTTTAAGAAAGCTTCAAGCTTCAAATGTTAATGTTTCAAATATTGATTCGTTCAACATTAAAAAAATCGATTTATTTTAGACTTTTTTAAGATTATTTTTTCAGTGGTGTGAAACTTTTTGATGTGCTTTGTTTTTTGTCTATTTTTTATCGTTACATTTTTTTTTTTAATTTAATTTAATTATCCCAATTTTCATGTTTTTTTTTTAATTTCTTTTATTTTTACTTGAAAATAAGACTATATTTTTAGATTTTTAAATTTTAACAGATGTATTTATTTGAAAAAATTAACTTTGTATTTACTCCACTTAAGTGAGTGTGTGTTTGTGCATATACATATACACTACTGTACACATGTATATGTCTGTGAGAAAAAAATGTTTTTTGGGAAAGTCGTAAATAAAGAAGTCTCTGAATTTTGATGAGTACGATCTACCGTAGTTTCTAAATTGCCTTGTGTATATTTTATTCACTTTCACAATTCAGAATGGACAGTAGAAGAAATTATGGCCAAGTTTGGACTCGTTTCACGTTTTATTGTCTGTGCAACATTTTTAGGTTGCTTTTTATTAATTGAATTTAAAAAAAAGCAGGCGATGCTGTCGCAGAATGTTCCAGACAATTGTAAGAAATACCGTACGATTGCTTATTGTAAAACGAATAGCACTTAGTTAGGTAACCCCTTCTCAGAGTTGGGGGTTACCGTCCCCCGTCGTTCCAGTCTTATTTAAAAAAAAAAATTCTCCCTAAAATTTTAATTATTGAAGATTTTTTCTTCATTTTTTTACTTCATTTCTCTACATGACTAAAAACATTTAAAACAAAAAAAGTGTTTTAATTTGTATTCAATCTCTTGTTTAAAGAATTAAAAAAAAAATGTTTTTGTTTGAATGCTAAATTTTCAAAAAATACCTTTAATTTTTTTCTCATAAACATTTTTTCTTTTTTTATTTAATATTTATTTATCAATCAATATTTTTTACGTTTACATATTTTTTATAAATAAATACCTTTTTCAATTTTCTTTTCTAATTAAAATATTTATAAATGTAAATAATCTTTGAAAATGCATTTTTATTTTTATTCCAGAAACACCCACTCTAATGTAGGTAGATATGTGTAAAACGTAAGCCCACGTAAGATCAACAGCTAAAACCGATTTTGAATTATAGTTCCATTGATCTTCCATAGTCCGTTAAAGTAAAGCGTCATGTTTACTCCAGTTTGCCCTCTTTGTTATAAAATAAGTCATACATTATGAATATATTTGCATCTGATGGATGGAACTTGTTATTTCTGCTCGGATTTTACCGAAAAGTAAAACGAAAAATCCTCATAAAATAAGTCTCCTGCTAACGTTATCTCAGTATACGGGTCTAAAATGGGGGATCGATTATGAATAAAAACACTCAGTAAAATGGTCCCCGTATTTGAGGCCGACATACGCCTACTACGGAGTGGAGAGGGAGATTCAACCCTTGTGAAGACACGCGAAAGGGGAATAACGGAAAATAGCGAAAATTAACGGAAAAGGCCGAAAAAGAATGATTAAAAACAATCTAGTTTTATCACTTTCCGTAATTTCTGAATGAAACTGTACTTTATGAAAGAAAAATATCTTCTGGTGACAACTAAATACGATTTCATTACTTCGCAACATTTACCGAGAAAGGGGTCTGTCAAATCGGAGACCGTAAGACGAAAGCGTTAAAAAATGCCCTCACCCCAATTTTCGAACAATTTCAAGAAAGTTACTAGCAATAATCGTAATAATTTTATTATTATTACTATTATCGTTGCTTTATTACATTTTCGAATTTATTGACTTTATTAGCTATGCTAACTAATTAAGATAAAAAAAAATCTCGTTTTATGCTTTAAAACATCTGTCTGAACTCTCGCTCCGTCGCTGTCTGCCCACCTCTCTTTTAATTGTCTTTCTTTTATATACTTACTTACTCACTCACTTATATCTTTCTCTCTTTTTAC